CCTCACTCCAGCCCATCACCGACTCAATAAACAAATAAGCAAAGCCCAATCAAAGCCCAAACGAACCAAAAACCCAAAGTCGACTGCACCCAAAGCCCAACAAACCCACTACCCAACCAGCCCGGTACCCACTCTAGCGAACCAGCCCACTGCCGGATCGCGTTCTTCCTCGCAGCTTCGTGTTTTACCTTCGTGCGCCACGTTCTTTGTCGTAGTATTGTCATCTATTTGCGCCACTACCTTCTTTTTCCGGCCTTTTAAGAGGGGTTGAATCCTCTTATCCGTTGATCTGTTCTTGATGCAGTAAGTCCATTATTTATATTTCCTAAATTTCTAGGCACCGTGATCTGATTATTTGGGAGTTTTCTGGACCTTCTTTATCTGTCGCTATTGTTCGACTGGAGGTATATTATTTTTTCTTATTTTATCTCTCTATTTATCTTAGAGTAATTTTTTTCTGTCACGAGTGCCCACGTATTTTTATTGTTATGGCTACTACTGAGGGATTTGAGACCTCTGCTGTTAGTACTTCCCCCTGCAATGTACCTCTTGGTTCTCGTTAGTGTAATTATTGTGGCCGACCAGGCCATCTTAGAGCTACTTGTTGGAAGCTCTATCCGGAGCTTAAGTCGCCTCCTCGCAGCCGTACTGCTGCTATTGTTGAGGTACCACCACCTACTGTCGCTGTTCTTGCTGGTGCTCCTCCTTGGCAGAGTTATATGGATGCTATCATTTCCCGATTGGATATACTTATGTCCACCTTGACTTCTTAGGGTCCGACTACTAATACAGCCACCACTACAGGTATACCTCGTGCCTTTTATGCTTGCGCCAGTTCGTCTCCCCTTTGGATGTTAGACTCGGGTGTGAATAATCATATGACAGGCGAGACCCATCACTTCACCACTTTTGACGAACAATTACATACACAGATTCAGCTAGCAAATAGGACACATGCCCCTATTGTTAGTAGGGGTACAGTCTATCTCCCGGATGACTTTACATTATATTCGGTTTTTCATACGTCAAAACTGGTCATGAATCTATTTTTTGTACATCAGTTAGCCAGAGATTTTCACTGTGTAGTTGTTTTTTTATCTGATTCATGTTATTTGCAAGACTTGAGTACCAAGAGGATTATTAGCAGGGGACATGAGAGAAATAAATTGTATTATCTAGGCGATCCACCTCTAGTTTCACCAGTTCATCCACCTCCATTATCTGCACCTGTTTTGTCTCTATCTGTTCCTAACTTGCATGCTAGTATTTTGCCTAGTACTTGTCGTTATGATTTTTCATCAAAAACAATTCAGTTGTGGCATGACCGTTTTGGGCATACAAATTTTAAATACTTATGTATGTTATTTCCTACTTTGAGCAATGCTTGTGTTGGTGGTAAACTTGACTGTGTTATATGTTCCCCATCGAAACATGTTCGGACCAGTTATATTCCTCGCATGCACCAATCACTCAAGCCATTTGACCTAATACACTCTGATATTTGGGGACCCTCTCCTGTTACTGCTCTGTCAAGTACTCAATACTATGTGACATTTATAGATGATCATATTCGTTGTACTTGGGTCTACCTTTTGCATAGGAAGTCTGATGTACTCCCTGTCATCACTCAATTTTTTCAGATGATTAAGACACAATTCGATGTCATTGTTCGTACTCTTCGCTCGGATAATGCCAAAGAATATGTTTCTGATGTCTTAGTGTCTCAGCTTTCTTCTCAGGGTATCCTTCAGCAGCTCACTTGTCCATATACTCCTGAGCAAAATAGAATTGCTGAAAGGAAAAATAGGAGTCTAATAGGGATGGTACGTTGTATGCTTAGAGGTATGGGGCTACCAAAATCTTATTGACATTTTGTTGTTTTGACTTCTACTACTTTTTATGTAATCGTACACCAAGTCGTGTTCTTTAGCATCGGGCTCCCTTATAGATTTTATTCCCTGAGCGGACACTTTTTCAGGTCTCCCCTTGTGTTTTTGCTTGCACATGTTTTGTTCAGGATCGGTCTCCTACTCGTCATAAGCTTTATGATAAAGCGATTCGTTGTATTTTTGTGGGTTATTGTCATCAGTCTAAAGAGTATCGGTGTTATGACCCTATCAGGCGTCATATGTATCACAGTCTAGATATTACCTTTCTTGAGGACATTCTTTATTTTTCTTCCACTCTTGTGTCTGCCCCTCCAATTGATGATACTCTCTTTGATTTTCTGTTACCAAAGGAGCCAGAGTCATTGGTCACTGTCACTACAGAGTCATCAGTCTCTCCTCCACCAGAGCCACTCGTACCTGTCAGTACAGAGTCACCAGTCTCTCTTCCTTTGCAGGTTTATGTTCGTCGTCCTCCCTCTCATCCCTCTACTGATGTCCCTTTTACTTCAGGCGATGCAGGTAATATTTCTCAGTTCGTTGAGCATATTGATGCACCTGTTGTTAGTACTGATGAGATTGCAGGTACTGAGCCAGTTACTTTTCCTGATGAGATATTGTTAGTGGAGGATGATGATTTAGGATGTCGTTATCCACAGCGTTATCGCCGTCCAGTTGTCCGTTACGGTTCGACTGCTCGGTCTTTATATTCGATCTCTGCTTATGTTTCTTATGGTGATCTTTCTCCTACANACGTCGTTATCCACAGCGTGATCGCCGTCCAGTTGTCCGTTACGGTTGGACTGCTCGGACTTTATATCCGATCTCTGCTTATGTTTCTTATGGTGATCTTTCTCCTACATTTCGAGCTTATAGTGTGGCCTTATCAGATACACCGGTTCCTCGCTCTGTTTCAGAGGCTATGTAGGAGCCCCAGTGGATTCTTGTCATGCAGACGGAGATGGACGCTCTTCAGCGTAATCATACGTGGGATCTTGTTTCTTTACCTTCAGGGGTGAAATCTGTTGACTGTCACTGGGTTTACACCCTGAAGTTTATTGCATATGGTACAATTGATCGTCACAAGGCCAAACTTGTGGCGAAGGGCTTTACTCAAGTACCAGGTCGTGATTTTGGTGCTACCTTTGCCCCCGTGGTAAAATTGACTACTGTTCGATTAATTATTTATCTGGCTGCGGAGTACTCTTGGCCTCTTCATCAGTTGGATGTGAGGAATGCATTTTTTCATGGTGATCTGGATGAGATTATTTATATGAATGCACCACCAGGCTTCGTGGTGAGGGGGAGTATGCTGGAAAGGTATGTCGATTGTGTAAGTCTCTTTATGGACTGAAACAGTCACCACGAGCCTAGTTCTCTCGCTTTAGTGATGTAGTTGTACGTTTAGGATTTACCAGATGTCATTCTGATCATACTTGCTTCATTCGACTGAATACTTCTTGACAGTTTGTCATCCCTTTGATATATGTTGATGATATTATTATTACTGGAGATGATATTTCTGGAACTGTACAGATCCAAATAGACCTTGGGAAGGCCTNGATTTACCAGATGTCATTCTGATCATACTTGCTTCATTCGACTGAATACTTCTTGACAGTTTGTCATCCCTTTGATATATGTTGATGATATTATTATTACTGGAGATGATATTTCTGGAACTGTACAGATCCAAATAGACCTTGGGAAGGCCTTCAATGTGAAGGACCTTGGATTTCTGCGATACTTTCTTGGGAATGAGATTACCCGTAGCAGCAGGAGTATTATTCTTTCTCAGAGAAAATATGTTCTGGATCTTCTCTCAGACACTAGGATGCTGGGGTGCAAACCGGCATCATCACCTATGATTCCAAACCTTAAGCTTATTGTTGAAGGTGAGTAGTTGAGAGATCTGACTATTTATCAAAGGCTGGTAGGTAGACTTATCTACCTAGCCAACACTAGGCCAAATATTTCATTCGCTGTCAGTCGAGTTAGTCAGTTCATGCACAGGCTGTGTCAGCCTCATTTTGATGCAGTTCATCATATTCTTCGGTACCTTAAGTCTTGTCCTGAACTTGGGTTATTTTATGCATCAGGATCTCAGACTGGTTCTCTAGCCTGTTATTCAGATTCAGATTATGGGGGAGCATGTGATGGTTGATCTACTACGGGCTTCTGTGCTATTCGAGAGACTCATCTTCTCTCTTGGAAGAGCAAGAAGTAGGCAGTTGTCTCTCGTTCATCAGCAGAGGTAGAGTATCGGGCACGGGCACTGGCACTTGGCACATGTGAGATTATATGGCTACGATCGATTCTTGGTGAGTTGGGATTTCCAGTGACTTCTTCATCTACATTATATTGTGATAATCGATCTGCTATTCAGCTTGCTTCTGACTCTGTATTACATGAGAGGACGAAGCATATAGAGATCGATGTTTACTTTCTTCGGGAGAAAGTTCGTTGTGGTATTGTCACTCCATTGTTTGTGGAGACTAGTGATCAGGTTGCAGATATTTTCACCAAATCTATCACTCTATCTATTCTTCGGGACTCCATTGTCAAGCTTGACTTAGTTGATATTTTTGCACCTAGCTTGAGGGGGAGTGTTGAAATATAGTCTTGTTTATTAGGGTTTCTTTTCNGAGGGGGAGTGTTGAAATATAGTCTTGTTTATTAGGGTTTCTTTTCCCTTTTTAACCCTTACTATGACTTTATATTTTGCCTAGAACATAAGGATGTTTAGGTCACTTTGTATTATTATTTGACTATATATACGGAGTTTTACTCTTAATTTGAGTAACTCTTTCACTCATATATATCTCTTGTCGCAGAAAANTATACGGAGCTTTACTCTTAATTTGAGTAACTCTTTCACTCATATATATCTCTTGTCGCAGAAAACAAACGAGCGTGCATTCTCTTTAGAAGACAAGTTATAACACTCAAACTTGTTGAATAGTTCAATTTGGATTGATCATCCCAATAGTATAGTGAAAACCAAGTTCGAGGTTGGTTCTCAATTCAATTCTCATGTTGTTACACATCTTCCGTCTATGATTTGTAACTTCAGCTGCCCTGTATTTTGACTCCAATTACATTCGGATTTGGACGAGGAAAGAATTGTGCATTGCGCAATTTGAGTTGTGCTTACTCTTCATTCTTTCAACTTTATCAATCACTGCTGAAATTATCAAGACACTGATGAGAAATTATGAATTGTAAAGAAATTTGTACCAGTAGAGTCTGAAAAAAATAGAAGATTCAGAGATCAAACACTTGCTTGTAGAAGGTTTCCAATGTTCACGACGAGGGCTCCAGGCGTCAGGGGAACATCAACCCACTTGTTTTGATGAAGAACTTGGAGGCCCCCTAAATGGTCTTGTAGAAGCACTGTGATGAAGTCATTATCAGAATGCTTGCTGGTGCCTAATGTAAGTAGTGGTTGTGGGCATGCTGGATAATAATGGTATATGACAGCAAGCCCTCCGGCACAGTCCATGTCTTTGAGGTGGTTTGGATGGAGTCCTAGAGCCTCTGACAATAACTCAAACAAAGAATTGCTGCTCAATTTCTTTATTTCCTCAGAGTATTCCATCAATGCATCTCTGCAGAAAAAATCAGTTTTAAGAACATAACCTGGGACACATCAAAAACTGCAGAAAATTTATATGGGTCATTTGCAAGTACAAAAGCTGCAAAATCAACATTTACACATTGTGGAGATAAGGCTGCGTACATCTGACCCTGGCAGACCTTAGCCTCGTGCATTGAGCTACCCTTTTTATTTGTGAGTACATAAGCTATTACAGATGAAAAAACTTGCAGAAAATTTACATTGGTCAACTGGCCTCAACATCTCCAAAACCAAAATTTCTTCAATTATGTAATCAAGTTTCAGATTACCCATCTGTCACTTTGGATTCTTATGATCTATTGATCTTCTCGGAATATTCAATTTCCATACATAAATTGGGCCAAGTTTCTTTACAATTCTTTGACTTAGTTTTATAGTTTAATTTTTTAATGTTTTTCTAAAGAAAAGGCAATCAGTATCCTGAAAATTTTCAACCTGGATATGTTAAAAATATCAAGATTGTGCCCTCTTCGTTCTTCATTGAGCTTTGTGTGAACACTTGCAAAATTTCAAGAACATACCTACATGATGCTGGCAATTCCTCTGGATTGGGAGGGTTTGGATCCATACTGCAATAAAATGAATCCCTCCAGTTAGCGGCAGGCGCGCTGTACAAATCAAAGTTGCTGTTATACACCACCAGTTTTGCTCTATCTCGCGTATACCACTGTTTCTTCAGCTGAGTATCTTGTTCATAAAACCTGCGTGTCCCATTTAACATCTCCTCCAAAACTCTAACTGGAATGCCATGATTAACCACTTGGAAGAATGCCATGATTAACCACTTGGAAGTCCCATTTAACATCTTCACCTTCTCTGGTGGCTACCATTTTTTGCTGCTTTTGTGGGCAAATAAGAAGGTAGAAAGGTCTATATTTTTGGTGATCGACGTTACAAATGATCAAAAAGAAAACATCCACTAGTCTAAGAAATGGAAAATTTCTGATGACAACTATACCTTTTTTTCTGTTTCATTCTCTCTCTCCACCTTTTTTTTGTCCCTTTTTCTTTTTCTTTTTCTTTTTCTTTTTCTTTTTCTCAGGAGTGAAGGAGAAAGACTGATCATTATAACCGGGCTGACACACACCGCACCTCCCTTAGAAGGTAATACTATTCTTATAAAAAACAAAATCAATTGCGTATTCACCCCTAGTCATTGTGCGAGCTACTCGTCTACTAATTTGGATTGAGATTTTATTTCCTTTTCTATATGGAAATATCTCCTTATTTCTTCAATGCGGGACACTTTAAAATGGTTAATGATTACCTTTCCATTAGCCGTGTGCTCAAGCGCCCATCTTAATAAAGGGGCTCAAAAGCTGCGAAGAAAGTAGAGTTTTTCTCTCCTCTTGTCCTAACCTTTTCTCTTGTTTGGTCTCATTAAGGTGTTGTCACTGTCATGGTGAGATGACCAAAGCTGCCTTTCCTTCTTCATATAAAGGCAGTTTTCAATCTAATTTTTTTGTTGTTTCATATCTTCTCTCTCTCCTCTCTCTCTCTCTCTCTCTCTCTCTCTCTCTCTCTCTCTCTCTCTCTCTCTCTCGACTCAATCTTCAATTGTATAACCAAACAAACACGTCCAACATTTACATTTGATATAATCTCAAGGATTCAACAGTTAGATTAAATTTCTAAAAAATTTAGTCTTCTAATTGGAACAGATGACCAAAACTTTGTTTCCTATAGGCCCAGCCCTCACTTCATGCACTAAGACTCATGAATTCTCCACTTAAGATCAAAAGAGTTTTATGTTGAATCGGTGCAAATCAGAAAAGAATACAAAACAATAACAATAAGAGTGAAGCATTGATGTTTAGAAGTGTATTACTTTACATGGTTGATTGGTCATTGAGATAGTGATTTCTCGATTTATATAAGAAAAAGGGTATCTGTATGGTCCTCCATGCTATTCTTCGCCTCCATAGCCAAGATTAGAGCTTGAAATGCAGCAGAGCAGAAGTCCCATCAAGCCCTTTGGCATGGAAGTAAGTTAAATAATCTACCACTGTGGTTGCTCTATACTTCGGTGGATTCTCTTCTGATAACAACTCCTCAATCGGTCCATACAGCTTTGAGGATGACAACTGCATATTCCTAAAGAAGCATGCCACTGATACTCTTGGACAAACATTGTGTGCTAGTACTCTGTGTTCGACGCTAATGAACTTGTCATTCGATATGAGCTGAAAAAGTTCATGCAGAGTAGACAGATTTAGTGTTACTGGCAAATGGGAATCGACCATGAGTCATATCTGTCTGTCTAACAGAAACAAATCCATTTATTTTCCAACACAATGCTAAAGTCTTGAAATGCTAATTTCATATTCTTCTTTTTTTTGTTACTGTTCATTCTGATTACTTTGTCCATCGCATTTGTTGAAATCAATCAGAAATAACAGGCGTTGTGAATCGGAAAAATGAAGAAAAACAAATGACTTACTTGTAAAAGATCACCAATATTAACAACTAGAGCTCCAGGCACAGGAGGAACATCAACCCACTGGTTCTGATGAAGAACTTGGAGGCCTCCTATATGGTCTTGTAGGAGCACTGTGAGGAAGTCGCTATCTGCATGCTTGCTGGTGCCTAGAGTCAGTTCTGGCTGTGGACACTCCGGATAATAATGACACAGAATGTCCAGCCCCTCTGCACAGCCCATGTCAGTGAGACGTTTTGGACTGAGAGCAAGAGCCTCCGACAGTAGTTCAAACAAAGAATGGCCCAATTTCATTACTTTGTCGCTATAATCAACCAGAATCGCCCTGTAGGAAATATTGATAAAAGCATGCATATAAGATGGGACAAATCACAAAACTTGCACGGATTGTCTATGTAAGTTTGTCATTGCTCCATCAACTCTCTGTTAATTCTGAAAACAAAATGCCCACCGTTGTTGTACAAAAACTTCAGATTACTGTTTCAAAAATCTAAATCACTTTTGCAAATTCTTCAAATTTCACTAGTTTACCAGCCTGATTTCCTTGATAACTATTTATTAATCTTGATGTGTAGTTGCACATTTAATTTCATATGTTATCAAGCAATTGCATAAAATAATTGTATGAGTTGGAGCAGGAATTAGAACTAAAGCAATAAAGTGTTTATACCACCACGTCCACCGCCACAGCCATATTTCTGTTTTCATTGTTTTTTGAGTTATTATCCAAAAAAAAATAAGTTTTATTGTTTTCTATTCCGTAGAATTAGTTTTGGAATCTTATAACCAAACAAATTCTGTGACACAAGAAACACCAAAAATACACTTTTCTAAAAGTTTTCCCAAAAACAATTTTTGAATACTCTTTTTTTTTTTTGAGACGTCAACCAAAATGGGTAATAAATTCTCAAGAGAATCGACGGTGATCAACTAAGCTACGCCCAATTAATTTAATAATCCAGTAGTTTAATTAAACTGTTTAATTTTGTTAACTTTCATCTTATTAGCAATAATGTTTCTGGTTGTCTAAAATTGCCTGAATATATATTTGAAGAGATGTACCATTAGACATGTAAGTCTTAATCCCACTGCATAAATCTTGTTTTTCTATTACGCTCTATCAAGAATCATATGTTCCGTTATATTATAAGTTATCATGTCTTTTTCAACTATTTCATAATTTTCGTTCACAATTATTTTATGCTTACCTCTGCCTCTCATATTATCATTGATATGTATCAAATCACACTTCTTTATAGATACATTATTACATCTTCGATCTATATTTAAACCACCTCAATTGATTACATATTAATTTATCTCTGATTGACGCTACTTTCTATTCTATCCCATGAACCAGGATTCTAAAATCACAAATATGCACAGTGGAATAACATTTCGTTCTCCAAAATATATATACCTGCATGATTCTGGCAATTCCTCTGAGTGGGGAGGATTTGGAGCCATACTGCAATAAAATGTATCCCTCCAATTAGCTGCTGGGGCACTATACAAATCAAAATTACAGTTATACACCACCGTTTTCGAAGTATCCCTTGTATACCACTGTTTCTTCACCTCACTATCTTGTTCATAAAACCTACGCACCCCATTCAACATCTCCTGCAAAACTTCAACTGGGATGCCATGATTAACCACCTGGAAAAAACCCCACTTCTCCGATGCGTCTCGGACCTCTCTGACTATCTCCTTTCGCCGGATTGGATCTCTGTCGATACCATCAAGGTCTAGTGTAGGAAAAATGAATTGGGTCGTCGTTTCAAGGTTAGAGTTCTTGGCAGAGGTATCAAGTGGTTGTATGAATATCCGAGGCACCTTGGTAATACCGGCATCGACAAGGCCTTTAACACCAGCCTTGGTATCGTCAAAGGCTTTTAGTTCAGCCTGAACTTCACCAGTACCGGTGGCCAACATTTTTTTTTTTTTTTTTTAACTCTCTGAGGTAAGGATACTTATTGAAGTTTTTTACGGGTATTGAGGTTTTAGAATTAAGGCAAAGAGGAGAGGGCAGTAGAACAATGGAAGGTGTGTACTTTAAATGACGTAAAAATGAGACTTGAGCTCACGACTTTAAGATAGAAACGGGGCATGAGCTGCCAACTTACGAATGATTAATAGCAGAAAAGTAAACAATTCCAAACAAAAATGGAGAAATTCAATGCCCCGCGAAATTGACAGCAGAGAAATGCAACCAAAAAGTGGAGGGGACAATACACACAAGCAAACAAATAAAAGAGAAGACTCTCTCTCTTTCTCTCTCTCTCCAGAGAGTTCAGTGTAGTTACGCTAGAGAGAGATGGGTGACCCCCCATCATTAACCTGGATAGGTAATTTACATGTACAATACCTGGTAGCAATGAAGCCACATCCCAAGTTCTTTTTTGTTGCAAATTTCAACTACAGTAGTGCTGGACCAAATCCTCCATAACCAAGGATGGGTAAACTTTGAGGACCAGTTGGCTGGACCAAAGTTGTGATTTGTTCTGGGCTAACCCAGTTAGTTGAACAGTCAATGACCCAACTGACCGGGCCGTGATTCGCCTTGGCCCGTTCTGACAAGCGAATCATCATTCCCGTAGTGGATAACCTTCAACTTAATTAATTATGGGTGACTACTATAATGGAAAATTGAGAGAAAGTATATTGCAGAAGTTTTCACTCCCTTCAATTAATCATTCCTGTTCACAAGCACCCGTCCCCTAACCTCACTTCTCCACCACCACCCTTCCCTCCCTATAAAACCCCATCCAAAGAACCAAAACACCCTAAAAGAAAGCAAAAAATGACATGCATATTGAAAAATACATATGGCATAGACAAACAATTCATTTCATGTTAAGATGTTCATTTTGCAAACTGAAACATTTTACAAATGTGGTGAACAATAAAATCTTCTGTAATTCTTCATGCTACTTGGTGCCATTTCAATTGCCATTTTCACAGCTTGAAATGAAGCAGGGCAGAAGTCCCATCGAGCCCTTTTGCATCGTAGTGAACTGAGAAATCTTTCACTGTAGTTGCCCTGTACTTGGGAAGATTTTCTTCCGATAACAACTCCTCGATGGGTCCATACAGCTTTGAGGTTGGAAAATGACCTGTGGTAAAGAAGCAAGCCACTGAAACTCTTGGACCGACACGGTTTGCCAGTACTCTGTGTTCAGCACTTCTGAACTTGTCGTTTGTTATAAACTACAAACTCCAACAACAAAGTTAATATTAGTCATCAATCCTAACATGAATGTATGTATAAATGCTGGCAATCAAAGTACATATTATCGGATTTGTAGTTGATAGATAGTATAAACCATCTCTTCCAGGAAACATTCGCAGTAGATCACAAAAATTAAGAACCTAGATGCAAATCCTTCCTGTGATCAATTTGGATCTCATAACAAAAGTCTAAACCAGGATACATTTACCTGTTCTCTTATTGAGCTGCTCTTTTCATTTGCTACTCCTTACCTTACTGGTCTCCCATGGTGAGGTAGAGTTGGAAAGACTAAAACCAAGTAATAAAATTGCTAAATCTAAAGATCATACTCAGCGTGCAAGCCAATCTGACCGCCATTTTGGAGAAGGTGATTCTCAAGATCAAAACCCTGATTTCTCGCTTGGCAGATAAGTATTTTTCATTGATTCTGGTCTGACCTCCAAATTACAAAAAAAAAAAAAACCTAGTTGATTGTTATTTTGTTGTTTACCAAGTCCTTCCTAGCAGTGTTATTATCCTAATTTACAATTATATAAAAATATGATGTGGCTCATTTCCTTGTTAAGTGTGGACCGTTTTGGGATATGATCAAGGAACCCAATGTTGATTTAACAGAATTGAGTGTACTGGAACTGCCTCTGCCAATTACGTTATAGCAATCACTAAGAAAATAATGGGCATGATATATCAGAAAGAAATAAGAAGATGGTTTTTTTTTTCAGCATTTCCAAGGACAATGCCTGAATAGAAGAAATTTATGGATCAAACACTTGCCTGCATAAGATCTCCAACATTCACCACTAGAGCTCCAGGCGTAGGGGGGACATCAATCCACTGGTTCTGGTGAAGAACTTGGAGGCCCCCTATATGGTCCTGCAGAAGCACTGTAAGGAAGTCACTGTCGCTGTGCTTGGTTGCACCTAATGTTAGTTCTGGCTCCGGGCATGCTGGATAATAATGGTACAGGATGGCAAGCCCCTCGGCACAGTCCATGTTGTTGAGGTGGTTTGGATCGAGTCCAAGAGCCTCTGATAGTAATTCAAACAGAGCTCTGCCCAATTTCATTAATTGGCCGGAGTACTCGAGCAAAATGTCCCTGCAGGAAATTAAGTGAATACAGAACTCGGCAAAGATCAGAAAATTTTCACACAAAACCATAGGGGTTACACTCCAAATGTCTGCCATTATTTAACCAACATTAAGATGAACCATCGGCCACATTTGATCATAGGACCTTGTATTTAAAATTTGTCCTAATCCTTCATGGTGTTCAAACTAATTGGTTCTCACTATTATTCGTATGAGCTTCACCCTTCGGATTTAAAGTTGTCAATGGGATGTTTCATGTTTTTATGTCAAATAAGTCGTACCGTGTCAATATTTGTTCAACTTACATTCACATGATTCAAGGTCGTGCTATCGACTATCAACACAGAGAATTGCGAGATGCATTAGTTGCAGTGGTGCAAAAACGTATAAGGAGATAATTGAATACTATATGGAAGAAGAAAATAGACATTTACCGTGGTGCCACAAATCGATATCGGCCAATTTAGTTTTATTGTTGACATGAATTTTGGTCAGTTCTTTTTTTTGTTTTTAGGGGGGAGGGGGGAATTTTGGTCAATTCAAGTACTATTACTCGGATGACTTAGCCAAGTCACATAACTCTCATGATTTACACGGAATATAAAACGATATCGGAATGAAAAATGACGAGTCTAATTCAAATCGAACAAATACTTTAAACATGTAATGTCAGTTTTGTGTTAGCTAGTTCATACCGATCTATTTATTGAACAATTTGACAATTCCGAGGTAGTTAGTTCTTGACCGGTTCATAACCAAAGCCCAATAAGATTAAACCCACACCCGCAACTTTGGGTCTAGTCTTGGAGTAAATATTTGGTGCAATGGTTATACAGTAATAAGATTAAGTATAACGGATGTAGATCCCCTCCATTACATCTTCTGTTCAATTCCTCTCAATGTAATGTTAGATGAGTGACATATGTAAGTTTTTTAATTTCAATGGATAAGATTTTTTCTCATTCGTTTTATTATCCGTGGAGTATTAACTATTATTAAGGAATTTTCTCAAAAGAAAAAAAAATTGTCCATTGAAATTCAGAATCTTACACATGTCACTCATCTACACTGTATTGAGAAAATTAGAAAAAAGGGATAATAGAAGGGATCTGAATCCAAGTATAACCATTTAATGATAAATAAACAAGTGAGTTAGGTGAACCTCATTTATTTCCTTATGAAATTGATGAAATAAGGTCTATTTTATCTATCAGTTGAGTTACTATTGGATATCGTTAATGAACATTGGGGTGTTCACCCTACCCTACAGGTAAAAAATTTAGTATTTCGTCTTCCTACCCGATACTTTACAGAAAAAAAATTTCTTGACTTACCCTACCTGATCAGATGTGGTATTCCTACCCGACTTCTTACCCGATTAATCGGGTAGGAAGTCGGATAAACCTTTGTGTAGATATTAATTTTTGAATCATTTTAATAATTCAATTAAATAACATGCACTAATTTAACAACACAATAAATCAATAACACTAAAACATAAAACAATTACAACAATAATTACAATAAAACATAAGAAAGTAGAAACATCAATTCATTATAATTATTATACAAATACAATAACAATTATTTTAAATTTAAACTATATGAAACACATTAAAATCATAATTGTTCCAATAGATAATCAATTCACCACAAATCATGTAACTTACACAAAAAATAAGCACATATTTTTGCAACTCAAACATCCACAACAATAATAATGTTATAATATAAATTAGATCACACAAATATTTTTATAATTACTAAAAAAAATATAAAAAAAATAAATATATTTTTTGCAAGTAGAGTAGGGTGGGAATGCGAAAATCGATGAATATTCAACATTCCTATTCAATTTAATTGAAAAATCAAAAATTCTTCTGTATTTTTATTCAATTTTTGCATTGTTCAATAAAATAGGATGGTAAAAAATTACGACCGATAAAAAATTTGAGCACCCTTGCTTAACAAGGTGAAAGGTTCAAGTTTCTTGGCAACAAAAACTAAGACGGATCTGGTTGCCGGAACAAATTGTATCAAGTCTCGCGTATGGGGTTGAATTTCCACCAAAATGTAAGTGCTGACCAGGAATTTCACCCAAATAAAAATCACTGATGTCCATGCTGGAGAGAACATTTCTGGGACATAAACAAGCTTTCGAAAACATACCTACATGCCGCCGGCAATTCCTCAGGCTTCGGAGGATTAGGAGCAATACTACAATAAGTGGTGTCTCTCCAATTAGCCGCCACAGCTCCATACAAATCAAAATTGCTGTTATACACCACTCTTTGTGAGCTATCTCGGGTATACCACTGTTTCTTCTCCTCTGTATCTTGCTCATAGAATCTTCGAACCCCATCCTTCATCTCCTCCAAAACCCTGATCGGAATTCCATGATTGACCACCTGGAAGAACCCCCACACCTCCGCTGCGTCTCTGACTTGGGAAACTGTCTCTGTATGCCGGACTTGATCTCCATTGACGCCGTCGAGGTCTATGATTGGGATACTGAACTGGGTTTCTCTGGGTTTTGTTGTCTTGTCGGAGATATCCTCAGGGGGTGTGAAGAACATCCGAGGAACCTTGGCGACTCCGGCGTCGACGAGGCCTTTAACGCCGGCTTTGGTGTCGTCGAAAGCTTTTAATTCTATTGTTCGGTTGTAATTCTGATCGGCTCTTGCAGCAGCTTCAGCTTGATCTTCTACGCTTGTGACCACCATTGTTGTTTGGGGGAGGTAACTGAAACACTTCAAGGTTGTCTGAAATTGGTTTCTGGGGTATAATTCAGAGTTGATGGAGACGAAAAACACGAGAAGAGAGCAAAACTAATCTGGATCAAGCTTTAGTTCGTGGACTTTTAGGGCAGAGCAAGTCATTAAATCACTGTTAATGAGATCTTTGACCGGCGGCCACTGAAGATTTTAGTAATATTTTACTGAATGTAGCATTCCTGATGAGGAAATTAAATATATATATATATGTGTGTGTGTGTGTGTGAGAGAGAGATTGAGAGAAGTCTGAACTCCCATTTTGTTCAGTGAAGTAAGTGAAAATCTACAAGTTTATTCTTATAGAAAATTGATTTCTGTGAATATGAGGTATGAATCCGTGTGAATGAGATCATATTCATCGACAGCCGATCACCTAAAGTCAAATGAAGAAGATGCATTTAAAGTAGAACAAAATACACTTATACCCCCTCAAGGTTTGAGGAAAATACTCCAATCCCTATAAAATTGAAAAATGCCAAAATGATCAATTTTCGTCCCTTAGTCAGACTTAACTAAACCCAAGAACTTAGAAAAGATTGACTCAAAGTAAAGAAATAATGGGTGTGTCCATCACAACGTCTGTCAAATTTCTTGGTTAATAATATTTTTTTAATATTGTAATGCTAGTGTCACACCCTAACTAACTTAGTTGCATAATGGCGATTTTAGTGGTACCTTGCATCAAGGTCGGTCATGAGATTGATACAATGTAATGCGGTTAAGTAGTTCGATAGATTGGTACTGTGATATCTTAAATTTTTAGAAATAGTGAAGTATAAAATATTATGAGTTTTGATGTGAAAGAATAAGAAATATTTAAATTTTATAGTTGATATATATAATAAATGAAATAAAGGGGAATAAAGTATAAATATTTTAACTTTTATGATCCATTAGTCTTCACGTTAAGACTTTGAAAACATAAAAAAGAGACAAGACAATGTAAAGAAAAAAAAAACCCCCCCCCCCCCCCCCCCCAACACACACACTAAGGTGTTGTCACTGTCATGGTGAGATGACCAAAGCTGCCTTTTCTTCTTCATATAAAGGCTGTTTTCAATCTAATTTTTTTGTTGTTTCATATCTTCTCTCTCTCCTCTCTCTCTCTCTCTCTCTCTCTCTCTCTCTCTCTCTCTCTCTCTCTCTCTCGACTCAATCTTCAATTGTATAACCAAACAAACACGTCCAACATTTACATTTGATATAATCTCAAGGATTCAACAGTTAGATTAAATTTCTAAAAAATTTAGTCTTCTAATTGGAACAGATGACCAAAACTTTGTTTCCTATAGGCCCAGCCCTCACTTCATGCACTAAGACTCATGAATTCTCCACTTAAGATCAAAAGAGTTTTATGTTGAATCGGTGCAAATCAGAAAAGAATACAAAACAATAACAATAAGAGTGAAGCATTGATGTTTAGAAGTGTATTACTTTACATGGTTGATTGGTCATTGAGATAGTGATTTCTCGATTTATATAAGAAAAAGGGTATCTGTATGGTCCTCCATGCTATTCTTCGCCTCCATAGCCAAGATTAGAGCTTGAAATGCAGCAGAGCAGAAGTCCCATCAAGCCCTTTGGCATGGAAGTAAGTTAAATAATCTACCACTGTGGTTGCTCTATACTTCGGTGGATTCTCTTCTGATAACAACTCCTCAATCGGTCCATACAGCTTTGAGGATGACAACTGCATATTCCTAAAGAAGCATGCCACTGATACTCTTGGACAAACATTGTGTGCTAGTACTCTGTGTTCGACGCTAATGAACTTGTCATTCGATATGAGCTGAAAAAGTTCATGCAGAGTAGACAGATTTAGTGTTACTGGCAAATGGGAATCGACCATGAGTCATATCTGTCTGTCTAACAGAAACAAATCCATTTATTTTCCAACACAATGCTAAAGTCTTGAAATGCTAATTTCATATTCTTCTTTTTTTTGTTACTGTTCATTCTGATTACTTTGTCCATCGCATTTGTTGAAATCAATCAGAAATAACAGGCGTTGTGAATCGGAAAAATGAAGAAAAACAAATGACTTACTTGTAAAAGATCACCAATATTAACAACTAGAGCTCCAGGCACAGGAGGAACATCAACCCACTGGTTCTGATGAAGAACTTGGAGGCCTCCTATATGGTCTTGTAGGAGCACTGTGAGGAAGTCACTGTCTGCATGCTTGCTGGTGCCTAGAGTCAGTTCTGGCTGTGGACACTCCGGATAATAATGACACAGAATGTCCAGCCCCTCTGCACAGCCCATGTCAGTGAGACGTTTTGGACTGAGAGCAAGAGCCTCCGACAGTAGTTCAAACAAAGAATGGCCCAATTTCATTACTTTGTCGCTATAATCAACCAGAATCGCCCTGTAGGAAATATTGATAAAAGCATGCATATAAGATGGGACAAATCACAAAACTTGCACGGATTGTCTATGTAAGTTTGTCATTGCTCCATCAACTCTCTGTTAATTCTGAAAACAAAATGCCCACCGTTGTTGTACAAAAACTTCAGATTACTGTTTCAAAAATCTAAATCACTTTTGCAAATTCTTCAAATTTCACTAGTTTACCAGCCTGATTTCCTTGATAACTATTTATTAATCTTGATGTGTAGTTGCACATTTAATTTCATATGTTATCAAGCAATTGCATAAAATAATTGTATGAGTTGGAGCAGGAATTAGAACTAAAGCAATAAAGTGTTTATACCACCACGTCCACCGCCACAGCCATATTTCTGTTTTCATTGTTTTTTGAGTTACTATCCAAAATAAAATAAATTTTATTGTTTTCTATTCCGTAGAATTAGTTTTGGAATCTTATAACCAAACAAGTTCTGTGACACAAGAAACACCAAAAATACACTTTTCTAAAAGTTTTCCCAAAAACAATTTTTGAATACTCTTTTTTTTTTTTGAGACGTCAACCAAAATGGGTAATAAATTCTCAAGAGAATCGACGGTGATCAACTAAGCTACGCCCAATTAATTTAATAATCCAGTAGTTTAATTAAACTGTTTAATTTTGTTAACTTTCATCTTATTAGCAATAATGTTTCTGGTTGTCTAAAATTGCCTGAATATATATTTGAAGAGATGTACCATTAGACATGTAAGTCTTAATCCCACTGCATAAATCTTGTTTTTCTATTACGCTCTATCAAGAATCATATGTTCCGTTATATTATAAGTTATCATGTCTTTTTCAACTATTTCATAATTGTCGTTCACAATTATTTTATGCTTACCTCTGCCTCTCATATTATCATTGATATGTATCAAATCACACTTCTTTATAGATACATTATTACATCTTCGATCTATATTTAAACCACCTCAATTGATTACATATTAATTTATCTCTGATTGACGCTACTTTCTATTCTATCCCATGAACCAGGATTCTAAAATCACAAATATGCACAGTGGAATAACATTTCGTTCTCCAAAATATATATACCTGCATGATTCTGGCAATTCCTCTGAGTGGGGAGGATTTGGAGCCATACTGCAATAAAATGTATCCCTCCAATTAGCTGCTGGGGCACTATACAAATCAAAATTACAGTTATACACCACCGTTTTCGAAGTATCCCTTGTATACCACTGTTTCTTCACCTCACTATCTTGTTCATAAAACCTACGCACCCCATTCAACATCTCCTGCAAAACTTCAACTGGGATGCCATGATTAACCACCTGGAAAAAACCCCACTTCTCCGATGCGTCTCGGACCTCTCTGACTATCTCCTTTCGCCGGAGTGGATCTCTGTCGATACCATCAAGGTCTAGTGTAGGAAAAATGAATTGGGTCGTCGTTTCAAGGTTAGAGTTCTTGACAGAGGTATCAAGTGGTTGTATGAATATCCGAGGCACCTTGGTAATACCGGCATCGACAAGGCCTTTAACACCAGCCTTGGTATCGTCAAAGGCTTTTAGTTCAGCCTGAACTTCACCAGTACCGGTGGGCACCATTTTTTTTTTTTTTTTTAACTCTCTGAGGTAAGGGTACTTATTGAAGTTTTTTACGGGTATTGAGGTTTTAGAATTAAGGCAAAGAGGAGAGGGCAGTAGAACAATGGAAGGTGTGTACTTTAAATGACGTAAAAATGAGACTTGAGCTCACGACTTTAAGATAGAAACGGGGCATGAGCTGCCAACTTACGAATGATTAATAGCAGAAAAGTAAACAATTCCAAACAAAAATGGAGAAATTCAATGCCCCGCGAAATTGACAGCAGAGAAATGCAACCAAAAAGTGGAGGGGACAATACACACAAGCAAACAAATAAAAGAGAAGACTCTCTCTCTTTCTCTCTCTCTCCAGAGAGTTCAGTGTAGTTACGCTAGAGAGAGATGGGTGACCCCCCATCATTAACCTGGATAGGTAATTTACATGTACAATACCTGGTAGCAATGAAGCCACATCCCAAGTTCTTTTTTGTTGCAAATTTCAACTACAGTAGTGCTGGACCAAATCCTCCATAACCAAGGATGGGTAAACTTTGAGGACCAGTTGGCTGGACCAAAGTTGTGATTTGTTCTGGGCTAACCCAGTTAGTTGAACAGTCAATGACCCAACTGACCGGGCCGTGATTCGCCTTGGCCCGTTCTGACAAGCGAATCATCATTCCCGTAGTGGATAACCTTCAACTTAATTAATTATGGGTGACTACTATAATGGAAAATTGAGAGAAAGTATATTGCAGAAGTTTTCACTCCCTTCAATTAATCATTCCTGTTCACAAGCACCCGTCCCCTAACCTCACTTCTCCACCACCACCCTTCCCTCCCTATAAAACCCCATCCAAAGAACCAAAACACCCTAAAAGAAAGCAAAAAATGACATGCATATTGAAAAATACATATGGCATAGACAAACAATTCATTTCATGTTAAGATGTTCATTTTGCAAACTGAAACATTTTACAAATGTGGTGAACAATAAAATCTTCTGTAATTCTTCATGCTACTTGGTGCCATTTCAGTTGCCATTTTCACAGCTTGAAATGAAGCAGGGCAGAAGTCCCATCGAGCCCTTTTGCATCGTAGTGAACTGAGAAATCTTTCACTGTAGTTGCCCTGTACTTGGGAAGATTTTCTTCCGATAACAACTCCTCGATGGGTCCATACAGCTTTGAGGTTGGAAAATGACCTGTGGTAAAGAAGCAAGCCACTGAAACTCTTGGACCGACACGGTTTGCCAGTACTCTGTGTTCAGCACTTCTGAACTTGTCGTT